AGAAGGTAGACGAATAACACTGTGCACTTACCAAGTTCATTGTTTTACAGAATCGATAAGAGAATCGATAAGAGAATCGAATCGTTTCACAGAATTGATGAGGGAATCGGAATTGTGAAAATCTTATCAATTCCCAAACCTACGTCCACCCCATGCATGAAGCTGTTGCAGAACTGGAGAGCTCCTTCAGTGACAGACTGCTGCACCTAAATGCACCAGGGAGCATTATCACAGATCCTTCCTCCCAGCAGCTGTAAGACTTTATAAACCACTGTTCCCAACAACCTCAAGAAGTTGTTATAATCATGCTGATTTTGCACAGTTTCTACCTTAGTCAGTTAAATAACACGCTGCTGTCATTTTGCATCTCTCTGATGTTGTTGCTATTTTCAAATATCCATTACTGTAAAAATCCACAGCCATATATTGATTATTTATTCTCCAAGTGCACAGTTTTACTATTGTAGAAACACTTTACAGTAAAGTATTTTTATTATTTATCTTTTAACTCCTCACTATAATGTTATTCTTATACATGTTTCTAAGGTCCATATTTGTGTGACCATTTTTCCTATAATCATTTTGCTGCTGTAAACACCAGAATTTCCTCATTCTGGGACAATAAAGAGATTTTCTATTCTATTCTATTTTTTTAAATATATTTTAAACAAAACACTGCAATAGAAGCTAGGAAAACAGACATTACTAAGAGGATGCCTTTTGTTTATGTCCAGTCATGGGACTGTAACAGGCTGGATGTTTTACAGTAAGCAGTATAACGATTTAATCTATTATCTCGATGTTCTGTAGTGCTCCAGCTAACTTCAGCTTCAGATTTATCTTGGACAAGACGCCTCGCTACCCAGAGTGAATCTGTTTGATTCAAGACACTCCTTATCTTCTGAAGAGTTTGCAGCTCTAATGTGTTAGCATTTCAATAAATGAACGAATAAATCAAAAATCTTTGCGATGCAACAGAGGATTTCGACATTTCTTAAAGCTGTAAGATCGTTCATTCACTGCTGTTATCTCTCAGTGGAAACATCGCTGCTGCTAATTGACGTGGTTTTTAAGGCAAACGTGTCACCGAGCAGCTAAAGTCAGTCTGCTGAGTAAGGCTAAACTCTGTCCTTTTTTTAATTAGCGACGTTTACAAAAAGCTAAAAAAATATATATATAATACTTTAACCGAGAGAATTAGATTTTCTTAAATGAGCCACGGAACATTTAAAGCAAAAGTGAGACATTTTGTTTAACTAACAGCCAAGTTACAGTATGCTAATGTTGCCTTCACTGACTGTCGACATATGCTCTGACCCTGTGGAACATCTCCGCGAGCACGAGCTCCTATAAAACCAGGCTGTGGATAAGAAAACAGGCGAATCATCCTGCGATTCAAGAAGAAACCAAAATTTCACATTTTCAGAATGGAACAAATCTGACTTACCGCTTAACTGTGATCCACAGATTACAATGTGTTAAAAAAGAAAGCTGTTTTCCGGCTGAGCAGCCCCACCCTCAACCGCTCGTAAACCCGAGAGCGCAGAGCTGAAAACTGATTGGACATCGTTTCATCGGCGTCACAGCTGATTGGTCAGCAAGTAACATCTGTTGTTGAATCCACCAATGGCGTTCTGATGCGTTGATCATTCACAACATATGACATGTCGGTAAGATGTATTACTGTATTATTCTAAAAAAAAAAAAAAAAAAAAAAATATATATATATATATATATATATATATATATATATAAAATGTTTACAAAACAAGAAAAGTCCAAGGGGAATATAAAGAAGTATTTAAATAGATCAACTTCCTTTTAAAAGATTTTACAATGTAAAGGTACAATATAAAGCTATAACAGAGCAAATTAAAATTACACTTTACGATAACTAATATTACAATTAGTTATATTTCAAATCAATAATAATAATCAATATAAAAACATTATTTAATTACTTATCTAATGCACAATATTAACGCAGGATCATCATATAACAACTACTAAAAGACAAATATCTGCAGGGAGATCTGAGAAATGCAAAAGAACATAAACGGAATAACCATGATTATTCAAAAAGCAATAATCAACATCAGAATAAGGTTATTATAATGAATAATAACAGTTTGTTATGTTGAGATAAAATAACTGTTTGCGTAATTATCCTAAGCTGATTATAAGGGTAACCATAGTTAGAAAGTTGCTCAAAATATCTGTTTTCAATTCTGATCTCCTTTGTTAGTTTGGTATCTGTGAGTTAAAGCACAAAAAGGGCCCCGATAATGTTTCGTGTTCTTGAAATGCACACACACACACACACACACCCCATAATATATATACATATATATAAATCTTGTCAACTGAAATAATGTTACTTTACATTAACTGATCATAAGAAAATAATTAAGTAAACCGGCTCTTCTAGATAAATCATGTAACTGAACAGTAGCACCCCCCTAAGTCACCAGTAGGGGGCAGTGTTGCTCTGTAATGTAAAGAAAGAAACTCGTACGTTTTTAGTTACGTTCCAGCTGCCATAGTGAGGCAACATATTGTTAAACCATATTATATATCAATGTGTTAAAAACCGCAGTGAAAAAAGATAATTGAGTATATTTTAAGTATTTAAACTTTTAATTTCCCTAAGTTCTTTACTTTGAAATATACAAATTCAATTGACATGGACAAAAAAATGAATTGCATATTTCATTGCTGCCCAATTCAAGGGGATAAAAATTCTATATATTCACAGAGCTATGAGATCCTGTTTCATATGACTGCATTTATGTTTCCTCACACGGTGAGACTTGGTGATGAATTATAGACAATAGGTTGAGGGCAGCCAACGGTGCATTTACGACAGATAATAAATGTGCTGAGCCAAACTGAGCCAATTGAAGTGTGCCATTCTGAAATGGAAAAGGAGAAAGGAGAGTTCATAGGCAAAAAATGTGATATTGTGTCAACACTTTATTATGCACCACCACCATGCAAAAATCACTGCTATGAACTTGCTTGAAAGATAAAAAAAAAAAAGGCTATATATATTTTACACATTTATGATCTCAGATGGGCCTACCACTTTTTCTAAGGTGACAGGTAAAAGTTTTTTTACACTCGCAGAGCATTGAGAATGTGTGTTTGTGTGCGACCCAGCCACATAGAGTAATCTCATTACTTGAGAAAGGGACTAATGTATGATTAATGCTTGACTAACTTTAATTGATCTAATAACACTGAGTTAATTTGGAAGCATTTTGAAGTAGCTCCTTCTACCCTGCAATCATTTGCTTAAACAATAACTTTAAGGTTTTTTTATATAAATCAATATGGATTGTTTTAGTGTTTGCTGCTGGTACCTGTTTTCATGAGTTAATAATAGCAACACATTCAATTGAAAGTCGCCTTTTAAGTCAGTCAAGGTGCCAGGTCACAGAAAAAAACTGTCAACCATATGCAGAACTCAGCTGATTGAGCTTTCTAAAGCTAAAACACAGCTAATGCCAAGCATAAGACCTCAAATCTGCAAGGAGTTAAAGGGGAGAAACAGTGGATGTAGGGCAAGTGAAATATGATTAACAAACAGCTTTGAATTCCTTTCTTTCCCAGTAAATTAGCCTTTGAATCATTCAAGAAATGGACAACGTGAAAATATTAGGCCTTCAATACATGGCTGAAGGTAAAATCCACCCAGTCCCATGTTTCTAACCATCGTTTAGACTTTTCAGTAAAATATATCCTATAGAAACAACAGCAACAGCAAAGCAGGAAATGATGCATCACTAATTTAAAAACAAAGTGTAGACCTGGAACAATGTATTTCAGCACTAGCCTAACGTTTCTGTGCTTCCCAATTAAACAAAAAAAAAAAAAAGTGAGTTATTTTTTAAGTTAATGCCAACAATGAGGTCATCATCTGTTATTTTAAACCTCCAAACAAAAGGCCATGTAAACCATGTCTGTCCAATCGACAAATCCAACCATCCAACAGAAGGATGATATTTATCTTTCATTATTCATAATTCAGCAAAAATGCTTTTAAGTTAGAATGAATAAAATAAAGTTTGGTTTAACTCAAACAATTCCAAGAAAACTTAACATAAACCTTTGATTCCACCCAGTTTAAAGATTTTTTTTTGTTGTTGTTGTCATGTTTCCGACTCAAAAAACCCCAAAAACATCCTTAAATATTAAAGTAACTTAGATATATATCTAATGAATCTTTGCAAAAGACACCCTCAGCAATCATGGACAGCCCTGGTATGGAGACTACTAGCATAAACTCAAGAAATACCATTGACAGAAAAATTTAAATGCAAATTTTAGCTGTGTTGTGATCCAAGAGACGTGGCTAAATTTATAGAAATAGTTTACCAGAAAAAAAACAACCAAAAAAAAACAAACAAACCAAATCCTTCTGTTCAATCCAACATCCAGGTTGGATTGAACAGAAGGATGCCAGATGATTTTAAGTCATGGTGCAAACAGGAATGGCAATAAATGCCAGGAAACAGAAGCCAGAATTATGGCACATTTGATTGTTTTAAATATATATATATATATTTTCTTCCTTGGAATTGCTTTTATTTTTTTAAATAAGAGGTCTGATATTCCATATTTCTTTAAGTAACATCTTTTTTATTACTTTTTATGTCTCTATGAAGGGTACAATTAATTGTGAAGGGGGATATTTGCACAACCTATCCAGAATTTAAATGGGTTTAAGCTCATTAAAGATATCCAACATTGCTGCAGTTTCAGCTAGATGCTTCATTGACAATAAACTGCAATGAGAAGTCATACAGTCAGCTAAGGCAGTGTGCATTCATGCTACCAATTCAACAAATAAAATAACAAACACACATGATCCACCTGTAAAAAATATAATGTAACAACAAAAGAAAAAGAACAGAAAGGCATTTAAAAGTAACAATAATATGAAATAGTGCTAAATTTGTTCACCATGGATAACTTATTTCAAAGTCGTTGTTTTTTTTCACTTAAACAAACCTTATGCCAAAAGCAGTCTCATGTTCCTGACTTAAAATCAGTTGATAAAATTACATTTCAGCTTTTATTCCTTGAGAGAAAAATATAAGATTGTGAAAGAAAGTAGTCATCCATCTTTTACTTACAGTGTATGGTTTCTAAACAAGTCAAATAAAAGCTCAAATAAAAGTCCAGAAGTAAGGGTGTTTTTATGGCACCTGTGGTGTAATAGAAAGCTCAGTTTTTAATCTCTTCACACCAGCTCACAGTATTACCTTTAAATATGTGCTTGGATAAAAAATAGATCTTTACAGAAATGTAGCATTTCTATGGTTGGATTTAGCACAGGTTGAATTCTTCATGTCTTCAGTGCAGCGTGTTTTTCTTTAGCCCAGTGTTGCTTCTCCAGTGTCCTCTACTGTTGTTGCTTTCTGTATTGCTTACCTGTGGAGAAATTATCATCTTTACGAAATAGTATAAAGAACTTTTTATGTAAGTTATTAAAAATATAAATTTTATATATATATATATATATATATATATATATATATATATATATATATATATATATATATATATGTATATATATACAGTATATATGTATAAAGCCCATACACGGAGTTAAAAAAAGTTTTTCTTACTTAAAGTGAGACATATCTATATCTATCTATCTATCTAT